CAATGGACACAGACAAGAGGGGGGTGAGGGCATGAGTGGGGAGAGGGGAGGGGGGCAATGGGGCGATAAGGACACATATGTAATACTGTAATCAATAAAGAATTTTAAAAAATTACAAATATGTATGTATGTACAAAGTATCAAAAAATATTAAAATGTTATATTTTGGAAGTGGCTTTATAGGTAATTTTCCTAAAACATGTCTATGACTTAGTTTTGATATTATTTTCTCAATTAAAAAAAGAATATTTTAAAAGTATATATAGGCTTGGCTGGTGTGGCTCAGTTGGTTGGAATGTTGTCTTATACACTGAAAGGTTGCAGGTTTGATTCCCAGTCAGGGCACATACCCAGGTTGTGGATTTCATTCAGTTCAGGGTGCATATGGGAGGCAACCGGTCAACGTTTCTCTCTCACATTGATATTTCTCTCTCTCTCCCTCTCTCCCTTCCTCTCCCTTCAAAAATCAATAAGCACATATCATTGGGTGAGGATTTAAAAAAAATACACACACACACACACACACACACACACACACACACACACTAGTAGTTATACTATTTAAAATTTGTAGGTTGTCCACAGACAACAGTATGGTGGTTACCAGAGGGAAAAGGGGGTGGGGGTAAAATAGGGTAAGGGGGGATAAATGGTGATGGAAGGAGACTGAACACAATACAATATAAAGATGATGTATTATAGAATTGTACACTTGAAGCCTATAAAATTTTATTAACCAACGTCATCCCAATGAATTAAATAAAAATTTAAAATTTTGTAGCTTGTCAAATATCTCTTTTAGAAAAATGGGGACTAATTAGAACCAGCTGAACATGTAATAAAAAAGGCAAGAGTTAGAGAAAAGGTATGGTGATTTAGGCTACTAAAGAGGTGAACTGCTTTGAGAAAACCAGAAGATACAGATTAATACAGAAGAAAATAAAAAAATACAGAGCAAATTTGGTTGCTCTAATAACCAAGAAAATAACCAACCGGGTGAATGTGACACACTGTAACTTAGAAATTTAGAAACTGCCAAAGGGGAGATAACATAACATTTAAACCTTGGATCAAGCAATCACCGATTGCTTCAAATGACTGGGAATGAGCTGAGATGGGAGTTCTTTAGTTTTTAATTTTGCTTCTTCATGGGGAGAGTAGGGGTGGGATTATTTAGAAGACTTATTTATTTGGCTAATTGATGTATGTTTGCTAAATTAGTTAATTCCCTTCTCTCTTGTTTAAAATAAAGAAATATACGGTAAAAAAAATTAAAAACCACGTGCTTTTGTAAATTTTTCCTGTGGTTACTGATTTGTCATTTCTAAGATGTAAACTCTTGGGTTGCGCCATCACCCAAACAGGAGGCTGGGTTGCAGCTAGCAGTGAGGGCACACTGGAGGGAGTAATGGCTCTCTGTGGCAGCCTCCCACCAATGCTTCAAACAAGAGACATTATCCAAACTAATTATACATATTAGTTACTCTTCCACTTTTTTAAGGGTATCCAAACTGGTTTTTCTTTGTTCGTCTTTCAGGTTTAACCAATATTCAGGAGTAAATGAGGTATAATGTCTCCTTAAAAAAAAAACACACACCAGCAGCGTGTGTGCGCGCACAGGTACACACACACACACACACACACACACACACACACACACACACTTCCCCTTTTATTAATGAGCAGCCAGTTTGCCTTTGTGAAAGACACTTGAAAGTTACTGTATCAAAAGTCATGTCTGAAGTTCTTTTAAAAGCAGTATGGTGGCCTTTTTTTTAAGGAAAAAGAACAATCTTCTTGTAGGTGGTCTGATGCAATCTTTGGGTTGAGAACTTGTAGGAGGATATACCGTAGGTTTCAATAATATGTTTAGATTCAATTCAGAAATTCATCCTGGAACTTTCTGTACTTTTACCACTAACAATTTCATATATTTAGTATCTACTTAAAATAATTTGGGAGTTAAAATCTTAGGATTTTCCTTTTTAGTCCTGGTCATTTTCTTAGTAAAAAGCTAAGTAAAAGGACACCTACTTATTCTCCTTTCTCTTCCTTTTGTCACCAAAGGTTCTACTAGTCAAGCTATTTCCTGAATTTGAATTATATAAACTGTTAGCAGCTTTTGAGTTCATTGAAAATAATTTCTAAAACTCTCAGGGAAATGCTGGAATTTGATTTCCTGATTCATATACTTCATTCTTCTCACACTTATCTTCATTTTGAATCAAAATAAAAATCCCACCTTGGCCGGCATAGCTTAGTGGTTAGAGCACGGGCCCCACACACCGAAGGGTCGTGGGTTCGATTCAGGTCAAGAGCATGTACCTGGGTTTCAGGTTCATCCCTGGCCCTGGTTGGGGCATGTGTGGGAGGCAACTAATCGATGTCTCTCTCTCACATTGATGTTTCTCTCTCTCCTCCTCCCTCTCTCCCCTTCCCTCCTTCCTTTCTACTCTCTAAAATCAATAGAAAAAAAATATCCTCAGGTGAGGATAATAAAAAAAACCAAATTATTCCCTCTGCCACACTGCTTCTTTTATTTAAAATAATCTTTCATTCCAAGATCTAATCACCCTAAATTAGCTTTAAATTTTATCTTCTATACAAATTCTTTTGTGATAAAAGAGGAAGGTACCATCAAATTTCAATAATCCAGCCTTCTAGGAGGGATATTATAAGGCAGGATGGAGCTCAATAAATTAATTCCATCTTCAAAGGTTTTTAAAAAATTATAATTATAGACTAAGATGCTCTCTTACAATGTCCCCATGAAAAGACAGTGAAAAGGAATAGCTACCACTTACCTTTTGGAATCTGACACACCCATTCCAGTTTTGTATCACAAGCGAAAGGCCTTAAATAAATATATTCTCTGTCATTATGGAAATGCCAGCCTCTTCGCCATAGCCTCTGCATGACCTGAAAGAGGATTGCACATTATTTTGAAGTTGATGCAACCCTTATAAAATACTAAACTGTTTTTAACTCTATTTTAGCTCTAGCACCAAGCTATTTTTTTAATGAATAAACACATGAATGAAGGCAGTGTTTAAACAGTAAAAGCCTATGCAAGAGGCTGATAAAGGGATATATGATCATGCTTATGTCCAAAATATAAATTATTGGGTTTTTTTGTTGTTGTTGATATGAAATTGTAGAACCTTATACCATTAAATTTGGGATGGGTCAAGCTAGAAAAGAATATTTGGTTCAGTGGTTTCTAAACACTAGGCTGTATTAAAATAGATCTCTGAAAAGTGACATAAAAGGATCCGGGCATCAGGGGCCCAGGCTCCTTCTTTGGTGTTGCTCTGCATTCCTAGGATGTTGTCCTTCTCCACATGGTCCAAGATGGCACTCTACAAACTCCAGCTGGCAAGCAGGGGAGAAAGGAAAGGGGAGGGCACGACCTGGGTGGAGTATCCATCATTTTTTGGACTGTTTTTTCTTAAGGCCGATATTCTTGTGGGTACAGTGGCAGGTGAGGTAAGATTCTCCTTCTAGAACACTGTGCTGGCTGGCTTTATTCCTGATGCAGGCAGCATCAGTGGCTCTTTTATTTATTTTTTTGGTAGATTTTTCAATCTTTTCACACATGGGGACTCTGAACAGAAGATAGTCTATTGCATCAGTGTTCTAGAAACTTCACAAGCTTCTCTGAAGTTTTCACCTATTCATGTGTTAAATTGGGAATTCTATAAAAATGGTCTGATACTATACAGTTTATTACTAGAACAGCTACTTTAAAAATAGTGCTTTCCAATGGCCTTCTCAGTTCTTCATCTCAACCTTCCTGTAACATTTCTGGTCAATCACCTTCTTGAAGCTATTTTTGGGCTTACATAGCTAAGATATTAGCTAGATGTCTCTTTTTCCCTCATCTTCTTACATTTTATGTGTTGGCAATTCCCCCAAATCTACTTATTGGCCCTTTGATACTTCATTTTATATACATTTTCCCTCCAATTCTAGTATCTTGGTTTCTACTCACTATATTTCTTACTGCTAGGCTGGATTCAAAATATCTAAACTAAAATGTACTATTTTCTCTGTAAACCAGTACCCCTTCTGACTGTTTCCACAAATGCCTAGTCATAGTGGACATAGCATAGCGGACTCAGCCACGTGGATTTAAATTTTAGTTCTGTAACCACGTAAGTTACAGAGTTAAAATTTCTTCCTCGTAAGATGAATACAATAATAGCACCTATCTCACAAGGTTGCTTAAGTATTAAGTGAAGTAATATATGTGACATGCCTAATACTGTGCCTGGCTCATGAGTCAACAAGTATTAACAGCTGCATCACTACCACCATCTTCATTCTCCCATAAAACTTATACTTTGCCCTCCATAAGCCTTGTAATTACTTATTTACTTGTGTTTATCTCCAACTAGACTGTAAGTTCTGTGGAGACAATGACTGTGCTATACTTTGTCATTACTGTATCTCCAAAGTGTCACAGACTTCTTGGGCATATTACTTATGAAATGGATAAATGAATCAATTCTGCAAAGAAAGATGCATAATTCGTTTTTTTTAATGTCTTTTGGTCCTATCTGTTGCATCTCGAAATCTGTCTGAAGATGAATCTTCTCACACCCTCTTTAGTTCATGTCAAAAACTTTGAAAAATACTGTTGCCTACCAAAAAAATGCACAAACTCCTTAACCAGGCAGCAATCTTTTTCCCAACTTTGTTTTCCAAACAACACCAATTAAGACTTCTTAATCTGTATTCTGTCTCCCTCACTGTCTTACCATCTCCCTTCCACTCCTACTTAATTTTATGACACTTCCTCATACAATTTCCCCATTAGAGAGCTTTAACCTATCCTACCTGACCAAATTCTATCCCTCCTTGAAGGCCTCATTCATGTCCTACCTCTTTCTGGAAATAGGCTACAGGAATTGTTTCTTCTCTGAGTTTCATTAGCCCTCTTTAGCCCACTCATTTAGGCTTATTACTGCATAGCAATAAGAGCTGTCTTTCCTGAATATGAATTTTATCTTCTCAAATTAAGTATAAGTTAGGTTTCTTAAGGGTTGGGCCATGCATATACTTCTTACCTCCCATCACACCTAATACCACACACAAAAGGCACCCCATGGATCTGCGCCGGACTGCACAGGATGCCGGATTTATTGTTAAAACATGCAGATTTCCCATCGTTGTACTGACCTTGACAGCAGCACAGTCTCTGACATCGTAATCCTGCTGGAACTCATTTTCCATGATAAAAGTAGACACCTTCAAAGACAGAGAGGCTTGAGAATTTAAGACTAATGCATAAATATTTGCAATTTAGATGTAATTTAGGCAGCTTTAATAATTCAAGTGTGGTCCTAGGCCATGGAAGGAAAACTTTTTCATTTCCCTTTCTGTCTGAGGATGCTAAATCATGAGAGGATTTAGAAAATTTCATAATGTCATCAGTTTCCAAACAAAGGAAGATGACGGTTTTGAAAGTGGAGGTTAATGGTGTATTAATTTCACAATTGGAGTCACAGAATGAGGGGCTGGCAAAATACTTTTTTTTTTGCATGTGTTAAAATGCTAGATGTTTGAAGAACTATTCTCAGATATGCTCCAATTTGAAAATGAAAGCCAAGAAATTTCACATTTAGAAAGATTATACAACAGTGATGTGGAGTGAATATTTAATATTTGAGAATTATCTGCTCTTATAAGTGTTACCTAAAACTTCTCTTTAGGATAATGTAAATATTGATATAATATTTAAGGAGTTTTTAGAGTTCCTCCAAACAAATTATTTTCCTCAATTAAGGTGCTTTCTTCTTTTTTTTTTGGTTAATCCTCACCTGAGGATATATTTTCCATTAATTTTTAGATAGAGTGGAAGGGAGGGATGGAGGGGGAGAAGGGAGAGGGGAGAGTGAAACATATATGTGAGAGAGACACATCGATTGGTTGCCTCCCATACATGTCCCGACTGGGGCCAAGGATACAACCTATATCCCAGGTAATAGTGGCCTTGACTGGGAATCAAACCCACGACTCTGGTGCATGGAGAGACTCTCTAACCACTGAGCCATGCTGGTCAGGGCAAGGTATGTTCTTTTTTACATAACTCCTATATTTTTAAACAATAAAAGTAAAAGCTTCCCACTATGAAAAATAAAGCAATTACAAAGAAAAAATTAATTGTATAAGATGAACACTATATCTATATAACTATATTTTTATATATTTGGATTATATAGAGAAAGCCTAAACATGTTTATTTTTTAAATAAAAATGAGGTTATTAGCATGTTTTATCCATACTTCATATTTATGAATCTATTTCCACTTCAATAAAGATACATCTACAAAATTAATTTAATGGTTGTATGGTATGTGGATGTATTATTTAATAATCAACTTACTTGTTATTGAAACAAATACTATTTCAATATTACCCCAAACAAGAAAGTTTAAACTTACTGGTGTATGATCACTCCATTGCCAAGATCCTTGTAAATCAGGGCTCCTTTTATTCAAACCTATCCACAGCCATCGCTCACCACTATGTAAAAAGGAAGTGTTAAAAAAAAATTGAGCATGGCCTTTGGCAAAAATATTTAGCATTCACATGTCTAAAATGCTTAGGAAGCATAAGTTTTTCCAGAAGACCTGTCACTAACTGAAAAGCACAGTTTTAAGCTATATAAAGAAGTCTTCTGAAATGAAACCAATCCCTACATATAGGGTAGCTGTGAAAAAGTACCATAGTTTTTTAAAACTAAATTTTAAGTTATTTCCTTTGCATGAAAGGCAAAAACTATTCCACTTTGAACTTAAGAAAAAAGTATATGATTATTCTAAAACTTTTACTGCAGAGCTTCAATATTAGCAATGTCATCAGATACAGTTAAATATGACAATGGCATTTCTTTAAACATCTGTCTATAGCATTGTCAAATACCATCTCTTTAAAATGCAAAACAAACCATTTGGCTAGATTTTTATTAAACAAGATTTTAAAATAATTATTTAATTCCCATTGCCCATAAAATTTAAAGTAAAGAAGTATTTTCTAAATGCCAAACTCCATGGGCTATAGCAGAGCAATTAATCAAGCAATCACTGAAGTGATTATATTTAACACTCATAACTATTATATTTTTATGTATAAGTTATTGAGCTACATGCAATGGTGATACAGAGAAGTACAAGACCTAATATCTATTCTCAAATGGCATATAAACTAGTCAGGGAGACAAGATATATGTGAACAAAGAAAATATAAGACTACGTTTGAAAGACATCAAATGATATGACATTTGCATACATTTTTAACACTACAAAAGTTCAGTGAAAGGAAAGGTCCATGGTCGACTGCAGGAAGTCAGAAAATAATCTGTGAGGATGGGAGGACAAAAACAGTCTTCTGAGTGTTTACCATATGCCAGCATTCAGATCGGCTGAGAAGAGAAAGGTAGTCCAAGGAAGAATATAAACAACACATAGAGGCAGGGACATACATTATAAGTGATTTCTTCCCCTCAATGAAATTTTTGCTCTAGCCAGAGAGATATTGCCGATATAAATAGAAGTGATATAACCATAAAAAAACTTTTTCCTCCTCTAACCCAACTTGAAAATATTCTGTAAAATGTATTACACTTTCTAGGCCTTAACAAGTAGGCTATTTACCATGTAATTTGTGTGTGTGTGATGCTTGTTTCTTTCCATATAATTTAACTTTCTGATTGCACATGTATGTATGATCAGTACATATGAATGCATATTATATTGCATAACAATACATATATACATAGAAATATTATATGTATATAAATATAACACATATTAGAGAAGGGGTAGGATCAAAATCTAAAATTAATCCTTACTCTCAAGCTCAGTAGAACATATAGGATATATGGAAGGTACAGCTACAAGACCACTGGAAAATAAAAGAAGTCTGCATTTAAAACATTTGCTAGTAAATCAAAGGCTAGAGCAAACTTAGTTTTAATTTAATTTCTTATTTTTAAATAAAATAATTGCTTTTCTTGATGTCTTTGCTCAACATTCCCTTGTATTTTCTTATCAATAAGCACCTATTCATCTTTTCAACCTCAACCTTTCCGTTTCCTGCAGTGGAATATCAGGACTGCCCCCTTTCAGTTTTGACTGTTGTATTGTTTCATAGAGAAAGATCACCAATTGGCAGACTTTAAAAAATTCCGTGGAGACAATTAAGTCCGCTTTAAACTTAGCAGCTGTAAGAGGAATTTGCAATTTGTATCTGCAACTAATCAGAGCTTTCTTACAGGCTTGCAAATTTATCATACTTCCCGATTGTTGAATATCTAAACCACAGGGTTGAGGCAGTTGCCATACACAGATATAATTAAAATTAGATGGCTGAAATAAAGAGGAGGTTAAGTTTTGGAGAATTTGTGCACAATTTTGTGTTGCCCTAAAATAATCACTAGGTAGTTTCTCTTCTTTACACAATCAACAGTACGAGCATAAAGATAGTAAAATATTATTTGCCAAAGATTCTTTAGCGATGTGTCTGCAACATGTCCACCCCGTTTTCTCTTGGCTTCACTTTTTCCCACTTAGAACCTCTACCTTCAGGCCCATTTCTGCCTCCACGGCTGCATCTCGAGAACAGTTTCCTAGAGAGCTGAGTTTGCCCTCCTGCCCCAAATTCCTAATTTTTACTACTTCCTGAGTTTGAACTTCATTTCAACCCAGGCATTTAGAGTTTTCAGCTTCCATTTTAAGAGATACATTTGTGTGTTATAAATATAGAAAATAGTAGCTATTTGTGTGTGGGGTTTTTTCCTGTGTGAGAAGAGGTAGAAAATATTTCCTCAATTACAGCTTATTTCTGGTTTGACCTGATTTATCCGTAGGCAGATAAAGAGAAGAAATTGGAGATTACATTTATCATTGCATACCTCTACTGAGGATTTTAGAAAATTTGAGAAAAAATTGACCATAATTAGGGACTCAAATCTCCTGAAATTTTTATCTCTATTTATAAATTTCTTCTAATCCAAGCACTAAGTATACTGTTTAAGACTGTTAGGGTAAGAAGGCATTGCATGAAAGGTTAACACGTGTATTTGTGTGAAAATTCCCACTCTCAGCCAAATTTCCTGCTGCATCTGGTTTCTGAGGAAAACAGTATCTCAGCCATAACTTTCAATAAATACTATTTGATGAGGGCGCTTAGTCTGCAAAACCCTAGATTTATATCTAAATCCATTCATGCCGCATCACAGGAGGTAGTGCACACAGCAGCAATGGCATTGCAAACAAGGCTTTTCTTCTCTAATCCTATGACTATTTTTTGCTCTATAATGGCTTTCCCTGGTGGGCTGCCATTAAGAGTTGCAAAGATTTTAGAGCCGTTAAGACTGGTATGCCATGAATCCTTTTCATTGAAATACAAATAGAGATGTGGAATGTAGATTGTGAGAAGTACAGCAGTAATCTGACTTAACTCTTTGGCATGCAATACACAATTTGGGCAATGGACATCTTACTGAGAAAGGTCAATTCCTGCCATAAAAAGCCAAGGTGTTCTAGGATTAAGCTTTAGAATCATTCTTCTGATGTAAATAGGCTTGCTTCCTTCCTTCCCATGGTCACAATATTGCTTTTAGAATATGCTGTCTTTCTAAATATAGCATGGGCAAACGATCTCTTTATTAATAGAGTGCGTAAGCAGACAACACAGTCTGCTTAATATGGCATTGTGTTAGCTGCTGGGGTAAGACTGCAATACCATATAGTCCTTAAGAGTGAGAGGATTATGGTTGTTTGTTTTTCTTTGTGCTTTTCTGTGTTCTAAATTCAATGTGCATTACTTTTGTGATCAGAAAAAAACCACCATTGTACCTTTTGTGTTACACTAAATGTTAACTGTTTATAACATGGAGCTAGGATTTGAGGTGATTTTTATTTTCTTCATTATTATTTTTCTATTTCACAAATTTTACATAATAAACTCGCATCACTCTTTAAATTGGGGTTGGGGGAGCCTCAGCAAGTGTGATTAGAAACAAATCAAGAACTATTTCTTATCACTCAGACTTTAGTTTTGATTTTTAATGTAATCTATTTTGCATATAGAAGCCCTTAGGGATCACTTATGTCACATATGATATTCTATTTCCCATGAACTGATTCTCACAAATATCTACCACTTCATTGCTTTGTACTTACCCATGGCTCCCTGTTCCAGTTAAAGGTTTGTAAGCTCTTGCTTGGTGTTATTCAAAATCTGATTTATGCCAGTATTTTACTTAAAAATACTATAGCCTAGACAGCAAGATATGTGTGTGTCAAGCTTGAGATCTGGGGGCCCGTAAGTTACCCTGATGAAATCCTTACTTCAGGGAGGACCAGCAGGGCACGGAACGGCCATGTTCCAGAGGCAGTTCACCTCAAGGACATCTGTCATTCAAAGCCACACTTGAGGCTTTGGTAATTAGCAGAGTGAAGCAGTGAAATTAGAAGCTTGTTGTTAATCAACATATCAGAAATAGACTCATTGGTGAAACTGAACTTATTCAAGAAATGAGGAATGACTAAAATATTTAGAGGCTCTCACCCTTTAGGGAGGCGTATTAGAATCTGGTGAGGCTGGTAGTCCCTACACCATTGGAAATGGACCTGTGGCTTGGGCTCCAAATGGTTGCAGGTCCTGTCACTGGGTCAGGTGATTGGAACTGCATGACTGACAATAATGGGAACAGAGTCCCACCTCTGGAACGTTGTCACATCTACCCCAAATAAACCTGCCACTCAAGATGGTGGTGGAAACACCTAAAAAGATAGACTGCTGGGATGTTGTCAAGCTTACCAGTCAGGTTGTATGAAACATTTTGTGCCTGCTTCAATGAATGCTTGTTTAACAAATGTCTGTTTGTGTGGAAAGATTTGGTCTGAGTTTTGCATTCATTATAATCTACCCCTCAAGGTTGAGGGGAGTAGCTAAGAAATACTCACCTCAAAAGGAACCTAAGAGTTAGTATATCCAAATGAGCTTAAGCTGCTCTGCAATGAAATGTTGTATATTAATTTATTTTTAAAGATATATTTTTATTGATTTCAGAGAGGAGGGGAGAGGGAGAGAGATAGAAACATCAATAAAGAGAGAGAATCATGGATCTGCTGCCTCCTGCACACCCCCTACTGGGGATCAAGCCTGCAACCCAAGCTTGTGCCCTGACCGGGAATTGAACTGTGACCTCCTGATTCATAGGTCAACACTCAATCACTGAGCCATGCCATGCCAGCCAGGCTTAATTTCTTTTTTAATTTTAATTGATTTGAGAGAGAGAGAGAGAGAGAGAGAGAGAGAGAAAGGAGAGAAAAACATTGATTTGTTGTTCCATTTATTTATGTATTCATTGGTTGATTTTTGCATGTGCCCTGACCAGGAATTGAACCCACACCTTGGGGTATTGAGATGACACTCTAACCAACCAAGCTAACCAGCCAGGACTGTATATTAATTTCTAATGCTAGAAAATAAGCTCTAGAATACCTGAAATTCTACAATAGGTGCTTGATAAATGAATACTTATGAAACATAGGTATTTTATTTTAAATCAGGTTCCCAGCACACTGTGAGTATGTTAATACACATCTAGAAAATGTTGAAAATGTTCACACATTTAGAAAATCACTCAAAATCTTATTTCCCAGAGGTAATAATTATCTTTTTGATGCATCTTTGCAGTCTACTTTTTAATGTAAATAGTACATTTTTTACTCTTTTGTAATTTGCTTTTTAAACCATTTAATCTATAATAATAAAAGGGTAATATGCTAATTAGACTGGGCAGCCGAACAACCTTCTGGACAACCTTCTGGACGACCTTCCGGACGAAGCCGGGGCTGCAAAGGCCAAGACCCTTGTGCAAACTTCGTGCATCAGGCCTCTAGTATATTATAAATATTTACATGTTATAATATTATTTTTAAAAAATCTTAATGCACAGGAGGTGGGGAGAGGTAGAAGAAGGTAAAGAGGGGATATATGGTGATGGAAGGAGATTTGACTTGGGGTGGTGAACACACAATATAATATACAGATGGTGTATTACAGAATTGTGTACCTAAAACCTATATAATTTTATTAACCAATATCATCCCAATAAATTAAATTAAAAAAGAAATATAAAAAATAAAATCTTAATGCACAGGGGATAATTCCAAACAAAAGTCAACAATAGTAATGATAATAGGAATCTTTACCTTTTTCTGACTTTTACAGAAATCCATTTCATGTTTAACCATTAAGTATAATTTGACTATGGGTTTAGCTATTCTTCTATTCTTTTTTCTTTTTTAAGAGAGAGGGGAAGAGAGAGACACAGAAACACTGATGTATGAGAGAAACATTGATCAGTTGCCTCATATGCATCCTGAGTGGGGATGGAATCGGTATGTGCCCTGACCGGGAATCAAACTGGCAACCTTTTGGTACATGGGACGATGATCCAACCATCTGAGCCACACTGGGGAGGACTCTTCTATTCTTAATTTAACTATAATTTGTATGTTAATTATATTAATTAAATGTTAACTATATGATATATTTATATATTAAGCCAGGAACAGTGAATTTTACCAGATGCACCTTCAGAACCTATTAAGATGACTGCATCATATATGCCTTGATATATAGACTCAACCTTATATTCTTTAAAGAAATCCTACATTGTCAAGGTGAGTTATTCTGAGGTGTTATAAGGTAGTGGATTAAGAATATGGGCTCTAATGGGTTCAACTATTATCCTTTCCTTACTAGCTGTATAACCTTGGGCAAGTTTTATTTCTCTGTGTTTCTGTCTTCTCATTTAGATATAACGGGCATATTAATAATATCTGCCTCATAGGTTGTAAGAATTAAATGAATAGATAAAACACTTAGGACATTATCTGGTGCATAGTAAACATTATCCAAGTGTTTGTTATTAAATCAGCTGTTGGCATTTACTTTTTAAAGTCTATTTATGAGGTTGGTCTGTAATTCTTTGTGTTATTGTTGGAAGGCTTTGATATCAGACCCAGACTAGTTTGTGGAAAAAAATCACGGATGCTTGCATTAGTTTCTATGTAACAGAATGCAAGTTCTTGCTTGTACTATTTAAATACATGTAAGATGGGAAAGAATTCACATATAGAACTATATAGTTCCCATTTGTTTCTTGGAAGATATTCTTTGTCAACTTTTTCAATCTTCCATGGCTATTGGATTATTGGGTTTCTACTTATCAAATTAATTGTATAATAATTTGTATTTCCCTAGAAATTGTTCATGTAATAATCCCATGTATAATAAATAGCACAGAATTATGCGTAGTATTCTCATCAATTAAAAAATTTCTTCATGAAATGGGTTTTATAATCCCCTACTCAGGATTCATTTTATGTATCTGTTTCCTTTTTCATTTTCATGGTTTAATCACCAGTAGATTTTTTTCCACCCTGTACACTCTGGTCTCAGTGCCTTCGCTTACATTCTGTTTTCCCTGGCTCCTTCTCCTATCTTACCTTTCAAAATATTATCTTATTTTCCAAGAATATCCTTCTTCATAAAAATGTTTCCAGTTATGAAATCCTCCCAGACACACTTTCTCCGTCCTCTGAATTCCCAGGGCCCCTCCTTACCTATACACTAGATTTTCCACTATAATTCTCTTGTCCCCACGGTTAGACTTGATTATTCTGTGCAAAAGGTGGGGCCTCTGTCTCCCTCATCTTTGAATCCCTCATAGCATCTTACACACAAAAATACTTGATTCAATGACTGCTAAGCACTGAATGACCCTTTTAGATAATAAAAAACATGTTAATTCTGAATATCTAGAGGACATCCAATTTAGCATAGAAAATCTTCTAAAATAATTACCTGAACTGGTCCATTAAATAGTGAAGAAATTCCTTTATTTCATCCACATGATGGAAGCTAGGAAGGTGTCCTCCAAGTGCTTGGCAGAATCTTTCAGCTTCTTCCCAGTTCCTCTTTCTTACAATTCTTTCTATATGAAACAGCTTAACAAAATAGAATGTATCATCATAAAATACCGATTATTTTAAAATCAATTAAAGTCAAATGTATGGGCCTCTGAAATGGATTCGTATAGATGTAATGAAGATGTACGTAAATGCCCATCTACTGTGTCTCTAAAGGCCAGCACAGGTGCCAGACACTGTGTCCAAGCGATGACCTTCCTCAGCCAGGCTGGGGAGCTGTTCCAATAATTTACCAGGTCCTCCTGCCTTCCTAGGACCTGGACAGACCAGTTGAACCAGCAGATAAGGCTGTAAAGGACACATATGAATGTATGTGCTAACAATATAATTCTGAACATAATTACACTGAGAGCTGCACAGGAAGTACAGAACTATTTTCTCATGAAGAAGAATCAAAGGGCACCCTGCACTGCTGTGGGAACACTGACCATTTCCTTGGTTTGTGATGACTAATGTTATGCCAAAAGAACCAAAGTCACTGCAAAAGAAGAAGAGGAGGAGCAGAGGACACAATGGTAGATTGAATTATTGGTCCTGACTCTTCAGTTCCCTGTGATATAATTATATATTCCTGCCATGACCTCCAGGTGGGTGAAGTATACTTCTCTGTACACTCACTGGGGGCTCTACCAGGTGACTTGCTGTGATCAATGGGATACTAGTGGAGGTAAAGTGAGCAGAAGCCTGAAATGTGCTTACATGGTTCGACTTGACTCTCAGGTTCCAGTGATTGACTGTGAGAAGAACAAGCCCCTGATAGCTGCTGCCCGCTCAGCCTGAGACCCAAACTGAAGCATAGCAGATCCCAATGCATAGCCTGGAGGCCAGCATAGCTGACCCACAGCTGAAAGCAGAGCTGACCATTCAAGCCCAAACTCTATCAGTCAACATGAGACTAAGTGTCTATTGTCACAGGCTCTGAGTTTTGGGGTGGTATGTAATCATTTCTTTGTGGAAACAGTTAACTGATACAGAACCCATTTTTTTTTACATTGTAAGATGTGATAGAACTCTTCTTCTGATAACAAGAATTAGAGGGACATGAGAATCATAAGCAAATTTTCAGCATGGCATGAAGCTCACCCAGCTTCTCGGAACAAAAGAACCCCAGGGAAGAATCAGTTCTGACTCTGGCCTGCTCTTTGGTTAGGACATGAGTTAATGTGGGAAGAGCTGTCTGATGCCAGAGATTCATTAATGCCCTCCCTGACAAGGACATGGACTTGGATTGTAGATGAATAACTTCACTGAGGGATTGAGTGAGAATGTTATATTACCTTATAACAAGAAAGACTTGGGGGGAAATTTTGCCAGCCTTCGGGACAGGGGTCTTCAGGCTTGGGGGCTGCTTCTTCAGGCTCAGCAGGCGCACTGCTTTTCTTGCAGATTGAAAGTGCTCTGAAGCTTTTGCAGTCTTTTACCTCCCACTTCCCAACGGACTTTCCAGTGGTCATAGCCACGCACCCGCCTGGAGAAGCTGGGGTTGAATGGGAAAGTTTAATTAAAAATCACATTTTAAAATTAAAGTCCAAACATTTCCCAGTGTCCTTACTCTTATCTGAGCCAAGGTGGGGAGAGAGAATAGGAAAGAAATGTGGCATTCATAATAATGATGATAATGTGATAATGACAATAGTAATATAGAGAAGTGTTTGCTAATGCCAAGTACTACTCTAAGAGGATTAAATGAATTGAATCCTCATTAAAAAACAACAACCCATAGAGTGGATTCTGTTGTCATACTGAGGTAGAGTGAGGATGAGTGACTTGTTCAAGGTCTCACGTTAGTAAGTGATTGACCCAGGACTGGAACCCAGTCCTGTGTGCAGAGCTGTGCCCTAAACCATTATGCTGCTCAGTATAACCTAAGTGTATATTAGCTTTGAACCACTTTAAACAATGTAGTAAACCTCAAAACAAAACCCTTAAAGATTCACATGCAAAAAAGGGCAGGTACAATAAAGGTAGAGGAGGTATATGTGCGGTTACTATTTATTTTATAGTAGCTTGAATTTTATTCACTCATACAACATTAAAAGATAGTTTATATTATTACATCCATTTTCCAGATAAGAATAAGTGACTTGCCCACAATCATAGTTAGTGAGTGGTGGAGTCAGAACTCAAACCCAGGTTTGTCTGGCCAAGTGCCATGCTCCCTTTCCCATTATACCACACTGCCCGAAGTGGGCACAAAAGAGCACGCAGTGGAAGTAATGAGGGCAACTCCCACTGAACAGAGAAGCCTACGATCTCACATCTCACACTTACACACGGACAGTAAGAGGAACAAGGACCCGGGAAAAACAATGCTGTGTTACCCAGGATGAAAGTGCTATTTTTCTCTGGTTCTGCCTCCTTGCTTGCCCATGATAAACCAAGCTGGCTGAAGCTGGGAGTAATCACGGTAAAGAAAAGCTTAATGTCAGGCCTTCTGGCTACAGGACTGAGAGAATAGACATTGTAGTTACTTCTTTTTTACTGCAGCGTAGTATTCCATTGTGTACATGTACCACAGTTTTTTAATCCACTCATCTGCTGATGGGCACTTAGGCTGTTTCCAAATCTTAGCTATTGTAAATTGTGCTGCTATGAAGATAGGGGTGCATATATCCTTTCTGATTGGTGTTTCTAGTTTCTTGGTATATATTCCTAAAAGTGGGATTACAGGGTCGAATGGGAGTTCCATTTTTAGTTTTTTGAGGAAACTCCATACTGTTCTCCACAGTGGCTCACTCATTTGTAGAATATAATGAACAAAATAAACTGATGAACAAAAACAGATCCAGAGACAGAGAAGCATCAATCGACCATCAAACCTCAGAGGGAACGTAGGGGAGGGTGGGGGTAAGGGGGAGAGCTCAACCAAAGGACTTGTATGCATGCATATAAGCCTAATAAGCAATGGCAGACACCAGTGGGGTGAGGGCACGAGTGTGTGTGGGTGGAAAGGGGGGATAAGGACACATATGTAATACCTTAATCAATAATGAAAAAATAAAAAATAAATAATAATTTAAAAAAGAATAAATAATACTTACAATATATTGCCTCCTTAATTCTCACCCATTGTGGATAACAGAAGCAAACACATTCAATTTTGGAGTAAGAAGTTAAGAGATGAAAATATAAAGTGCTTCACAATGAAGCTTCTAGATTTGGCTTGAGACTTACATGAAAAGATAAAATAAAATAAAAATACTGACACTGAGGGTTCTAGCCCTATGCCATTAGAGGGTGGTTTCTGAGAACTGAGTTTTCTAGACTCTTTTATTGGGTTATTATTTCCAAGGACTTAATAAGGAAGACATAGTCACTGCTTCTATTTATGGTCCCATAGATAGATTCTAGCCTTAAAGATCATAATCTCCCTCACATTTCAAAGGTAAGCAAAGAACATATAGAACATATTTGGGAGATATGCTGCATTTCACAAGTCACTGTATTCTATTACTTTAAAGGCGAAGACACTTACCTGGCTCAAGAAAATTCCAGTTGGAAAAGGTTACAGATCGCTTCACTCCACCAACACTTGCCCAGCTATACTCTCCACTTGAATCTACATCTCTCAGGCCAGTCCAGAAGTATTTTTCTGGAGATTTAGTATACTTCTTAATCATATCATTCAGGAATTCTTGCTCAAATCTACAAAACAAGAGTCAAATTAGCAGGTGTTTTTACAATGACTGAATTACTGTATAAAACTGAAGATGCACCCTTTTTTGGGAAGATAGTTTAGCAAAGGAACCCAGAGATAAAAGTTCACTAGTACATGTTTACTGGTGGTTGTACCTGTTAGCTATAGTCAGATTGCAGTTGGTTCCAAAAGGGACCTCATCCTTGTAAATCTTGTAACAGGTTTCTCCATGTCTCTTCCAGCCCTAAATCAGAGAAGAAATACCATCAGCCACACTGTCTTCCAGACTTGATGATGTCTCCCTCTGACAAACAAGGTTTTGCTAACATCTCACAACTTATGGAAACTAAGGACATAGGAACCGACTTCATACACATGAGGAGGGTGGGGTAGAATTTCAGATAACCCCCACAAGACTGTGAGCTTGTGTCAACTGAAGGCATATCTTAGTTTTCTCTACCCTTAGTGCCTACCTCATCATAAGAATATAACGTTGTTGGTTGACTTGTCTTTGAACAGGAAGAACATTAAGTAAGGGAAATAAAGATATCAGCATTGAGGATAGTAACCATATACATTTTTATAGAAATTCATGAATAGGTAACTCTTTTTCCTAGAACTTTTTTTTCTTCTATAAGAATACTGATTTGCTTTGCGCTCTGCCTTGCTCTAATGTAAATGAACAGAAGCTAGTAATTCTTCTACTTCCCATGTCTGACTTGCTGAAGTCTCAATTACCATCCCTTATCAAGAAGGTGTAATACTGCTTAGAAAAATGTATGCAGGAGTTTTACATACCTCATCTGGAGGACACATCTTATCAGTTCTTGCATCACTCATTTTTTCTCCCTTTTTCTTACATACATATTTAAGTTTCTCTTCACATGACTGAACTTTCCACTGACCTAGCTTTTAAAAAATAGAAAAAATCAACAAAACAACAAGAAAACCCACCGCGTGGGAAAAGACTTTCCACTGACCTAGCTTTTAAAAAATAGAAAAAAAATTTTCCCATAAGAGATATTATTTGCCATATATTTAGACTTGAACTCTAACTTAGTTTAAGTCACGATAGCTTCTTCTCATGAAACTATGGGGGGCAGGGGAAGGGGGTTTTGAAAGAGAGGGATAGGGCAAGAATGAATATAAATGAATGATGACATCTGAGAACATACTCCTAGAAAATGCTACCCAACCAGCCTGCATTATTTTAGAATCACCTCAAGGTCACAAGGGAGATGAATTTCAATTTTCTTATACAAGCAAAAATAAAACCATCAAAGGATAGAAGTTGGAGAGAGAAGAACTCAGCCCATATGACATGGCCAAAGTGAGTCCACAGGCTAAAAACTTTTGGGCATGTCAACTAACCTTCCTGTCTGTTTCCTCATATGTAAAATGACGATGGTTAGAATAGCTTCTCTCCAAGAATTCTAGAATCAAAAGTTTCTCCCAACTTTACTTCAGCTTCAACTTCAAAGTTCTCTCTTTCAAATATTCTACTTAATACTTATTTTGCTTACTTGACTAACCCATCCTGCTTCTTCAAATTAAATTTTAATTAGTCAATTTTGATAAGGTTTCTGAGAACAGAGTTTTCTAGTTGGACATTGGAATGCTGCCTGGGAATGTTATCAGTTCACTCTTGCCTATGGGGAGTCATTTCTACCTTTGACACTCTTCTAAAGACATCTTAGATATCCTTTTAAATAAGACAGAAAATGTGACAACCTTCTAAGTTAATCTTTGGCAACTTTCTAAATACATCTTTACGCTTGAAACACTTCTAAATACACATACCACTGATTGTTTCCACTAGAATCTCTCTAGAAAGTCGGGAGATACAATCAGCTTCTTAAATAATTAGCAGTCTACAGGAAAGTGATACAAATAAAATATAGAGGTATACATGTTCTTTCTGTCAAGATACAGCATGTTTAATAAATGTTTAAGCATTCTACAGGAGCAAAATGCTCTCTGAATAAGTTAGACTTAAATTTTGATAAAATTATTTTTTTATTTCTTCAAAAAATTTAAATGTCTTGATTGTAGAGAGAGGTAGGTAGGTAGGTTGGGGGGAGAGAGAGAGAGAGAGAGAGAGAGAGAGCTTCTTTAAAAAAATTTAAATGTATTGATTGTAGAGAGAGATAGGTAGGGAGAGAGAGAGAGAGAGAGAGAGAGAGAGAGAGGAGAAACACTGATTGGTTGCCTCCTGTATCTGCCCCTACCGACTGTTGAACCTGCAATCTGGGTATGTGCCCTGACCAAAAATCAAATCCACCACCTTTCAGTGTACAAGACGACACTCCAACCAACTGAGCCACACTGCCCAGGGCTTTTTTACTTCTTAAAGTAGGATTCATATGAAATTTAATCTGAATGTGAATTCAGAAGATGAGATTTTTCAACTTGCTACATGTTAAATATCACACCGATGGTCCTCAGAGAAAGCATCTTATTAGAACCAACATGGCACTAGAATCTGAATTCTAAAGGGATCCTCTTGATCTGTTTCAGACCAGAGCAGATACTCTCAGACAGAAAGTGAATTGCTTACTTAGTCATTGTTTTATTTACTTTTTCAGTAGCTACCAGAAAGACACTCTCCAAGGTTCTTACCTTTTATCTTATTTTCTAGCTTAAACACAAATATCCCCACCAAATATTATTATTATAATCATATAAATAAACCCAGGAGGTTTCCTACCTTTCCTAAGTAGGACACACAGTTGGGAGTCTTATTGTAGGGAACACTTGGTTCATTTTCATCCCAATATGTTAGAGTAACTTCAGTACCATCTGACCACTGAAATAAAGCTGGTGTATTTATGTTCTTAAGACCTGTCCATGTTTCTTCTTTGGCATCTAAAAGAAAAATGTTTTACTTGTTTGGTTTTACTCAATTACATACCTCAGTGTGTACATTGCTACTGATTTTTACATTCTGATGTGGGGTTTTAAGAACCTTGACGGTATTATTTTTTCATTTAAAGTTTTAATTCAAAAGATGGCATTCTTCTTTATTTATTTTTAAGTATAGTTGGTATACAATCTTATATTGTTTCAGGTGTGCAATATAGTGATTTGACATTTTCATACCTTATATTGCGATCAACCCCACTAATTCTAATAAATCACCTGTCACCATGCAAATTTATCACAGTATCACTGACTATACTCCCCTTCCCCTTTTCACTCACTGCCCTCACCCCCTCCCTCTGATAACCATCCCTTTGGTATTCTTAATTGACCTGTTAAAATGTTGATAAGTTAGGCAGGCTGAGTGATTCGGGCTTTTCAGCTCACTCATCAGGTAGAGCACACAGGTGGAACAGCTGTACTATGACCTGTAGGCTGGCTATTCCTAATATCTGGGTTAGATAATTCTTGCTTTATGGGGAATAATAAAATTATATAGATATACTCATAGATATTCCAATTAGAATAAGAATATTGTTCATCACCACCCTGGTAAAACAATTGACTCCATGCTTACAACAGAACAGGTATCTACTATTAGTGAATCCTAGGAAGTTATAATACTGGCAGTGTAGTATATTTTTGTTCTTCAGTCTTTAGCTTCGAATAATTACAAAAATGAAATAATCATCACTCAAGTGTTTGGAGAACTTAAATAGAATTTAGCTTACGAGAAGAGAAACATTATCCAATCAACCAGCTGCCAATGTGGCTATTTAATCTTGTAAATGAATTAAAATTAAATGAAAGTAAAAATTCAGTCAGTTGCCCTCGCTGCATCTCAAAAGCCACAAGTGGTTGGTGGCTACCATACCGGACAGCATGGATTATAGAAAGAACGATTTCATCGTCACAGAAAATTCTATTGGACAGTGCTGAGCTAGAAGGATCTAATTGTAAGCTTTCCATTCCGGCTAAGAGTCTGAAAATAGGAATACTTTAAAATGTTTTAAACCTCTCAAGTAGGATCTTTTAAAAACTTACCCCCATTATGGAGTTTTGTCACTACCAATTCCACATCTGCTAAAGAATGAATGCTGATAAGGTCACTACTGAAGTCTTTGCATTTCGTGTGTGCCGAATCCCAGGAATCACTTTCATTCACCAGCAGATAGCAAAATCCATTATGTGGCAGCCAGTCTGCATCACAGCGGGTATCTGAATATGGCCAAATATCTGGGAGAAAAGCAGCTATTTATATTCCAGTAAAGACACATCTATTTTGAATCAATAACATTACAAATTCTTCTTCCTTGAATCTTGAGGCTTCTGGAAAACCGGGGAATGTGATGTCAGATAGTACAGTGACAGGAATTTGTGTGCCCAATGCCTACATAGCATCAACAGAGTGATTGTAGGGATTCAGATAACGATGGGCCTTGTGCGATGCAAATATATTACGTGGCTGGGCTCAGACTATTTCAGGAGGGATTGCCGTTAGGCCTCGTAGGCAGAAGAAAGGTGTGGGGTCAGCCAGTGGCCCACAAATCTCTTCCTTGGCATGGGATTTGTTCGGTTCCCCTCCAGTCTTGGTGGTGAGAGATGGTGAGGTCAAGTCTCCTTTTCATGGATAGTCAGCTTAGCAGGGGCTGCATTAATATTCACTGTTCAAACTAATCCTCCTTTGTTCAAAAGGACGGGCAAGGACTTAAGGAACAGAGTCAGAAATCCATACACTCCACACCAAGGAAGGGCATCAATGGGGCGGAGGTGGGGGGGTGGGGGAGAATGGGTGGCAGAGGGCATCTTTGGACTCCTCTCTCCTCCCCTCTGCTCGACTTCTAGCCCTCATGGAATTAGCAATTTTTCTTTTTGACCATGAGGAAACTCACCCAAATGATGGTCAAAAAGATTAGAGAAAAAGAGTGGGGCACAAAACCAAAAAAAAAAATACTCTACTCTTCTCAGCAGAACTAGAAAGTAGCTTGGTTCCTCAGACTTCACTGGTCAGGAATTGTTTGGAATGCTTGCTATACAAAACACAGCATTTAAAAAATATCAACAGTTTCTTTTTCATTAAAGGATAAAATTCAGGTTCAGCTAGCTTTTCTCACTTGCAAGATAACAATTAATTGTAAGGTTCTGAAAAAGCACTCATTAATATTATATTTTATAATTATGATAAAGAAACAGAGAGAAAAAAATCACCCATAATTGAATAATCATTTTCCTATTCCAGTCTTTGTCTCTATGAATTCATATTATTATAAGATTAAAATGATAAGTAGGCATATCATTTTGTTCTGCTCTTTTTATTTTCCTGCTGGCAGAGTTATTTCAATAAATGCATATTTTTAACGTATCCATGTGGAAACATGATTTAGTTAATAATTACTACTTAAGAGAGTTATTTGATCTATCATTAGCCCCCCTGGTTTATTTTAATTTGTGCTGTCTTTTCTATTATGCCTTTGTTATATAAACTAAATTTGGTATGAATCAACTTGGAAGGTAAATGTTCATTTTTCCCTATCATTTTATTTTATTTTATTTTTTTAATATATATTTTATTGATTTTTTACAGAGAAGAAGGGAGAGGGATAGAG